GAGAATGAAAATTATCAATACATAGCATTCTTAGCCGAGGGGGTCCCACCAGCGACTATTTATTCATAACAGAAATGTATGTAGATTGATTCTCAAGAACTAGGAGAGTCGTGATTCGTGACAGCTTAGGCGTTTTTTTTGTAAAATCGCGAAGCGATACCTTTTATGCTTCAGTGAGCACATCTCAAGAACAAGTGTTCCAAACCGCTTCACATTTTTTTTGGTATATATTTGATCTACACGAAACACGAAATTTTTCTTGCCCAGCCCGGCGCGGTTTTCGGTCCTTCTCGGACGTCGCCTCATCTATTACCAGCCCATTTCTTCTTTTCCCAGCAGTATTGGCTCTTTTTTCCCATTTCTTTAAAACATTCTTCTTTTTTTTTGTTCCCTCTCTTTTCTCATTCCTCCTATGCTTTTCTAGAAACAGTTAGAAGTGAAATTTTGGTATAGTACTAAAATAATAGTTTAAGGAACCATGGAAAAACCACTCAGTTGGGTCCTTATTGATAGGACTTGCCCGGAATTCCAACTAAATGCGTGGGATTTCGTATTCGCTATCGTCGCATTCATTGGAGTGATCTTCACCATTGTAAAACCAAAACGAGAAACACTCAATTTGATAATATAAACAATTTCAGATTCAATTAGGACAGATAGCACAGTTGCAGAAGAAGAAGGAAAACGAAAGTAGATTGATCGGCATGTTGGCCCTATGCGACTTTATGATTTGTTTCGTTTATATCATGACCTACTTCCCGACAAGTGTTATTTTTTACTTTCGCAGCAACGTAGGTTTGGAAGTCTATAATATCTGCGAATTGGAGTTTCCAGTACTTCGCGGGCATCCAAATTGATGCACGAACGTCGTTCCAATCCTTAAAAATAGCTTATGATACCATAATGACTTTTGCAGTGTTTCTCCTAATCGTCGAGCGATTTTTATGGACGTGCTCTTCAAGAACTCGTCTAACTTAGAACGTTTTCACTGAGAAGAAATCGAAGAAAAGAGTGATGCTTGTAACAATAGTGTACGCGTTTTTGTCATTTTTCACAAGGATATTTGTGAGTTTTTGGGATTTCAAAACTTGATAAAATTAGTTTATCAGGTACTATCCGATGTCCCATTTTGTGATATTGCTCCTTGCCCATTCTTGTTTGAGATTGAAGGTTAATTGAATAGTTTAATAAAACGTCACGTTTCTTGATTACAGCTTTGAAAATCATTCAATTGTATGTCGTTCCTGGAATTGATGCGTTTGTCTGTGTTGCAACTTTGATTTTCGCTCTTCTCACGATCATTCGTGTATCAAAAGTTGGAGAAGGAGAAGAGCTAGTTGTTCAGAAGTAAGTGAATTTTAAGAATGGGGGAAGCAAACCGTGCGAATGGATTGTAAGTCAAGGTTCCTTGATCCTAATATAGGTGGGGGGGGGGTCGGGTTCACCCCAGGTTGCAAAGGGTCCCTTGTACATTGGAGGTGGCACACAAGATACAGAATTTGAATCTCAAGAAAACAGTGACAACTCCACTTCCATGAAAAAAATGTTCCAGAAACACGAACCGCATCAAACGCTGCATCATGTGCATTCTCGTTATCTACGCCACATTCATAATCCGTACAGTGTGCTATTACATTTTCATCAATCACCAAACTTCTGACTTGTTCCAGAAAACGCCAAGCGCCCAAAATCGTAAGTTAATTTTTTTTTTAATTTAAAAGTAATTAAATTTCTAGTTACTGTTTGGTGGTATGACTTCATGAGTGTGCTGTTCTCAGGATCCAGATACATCCTTTATTACGCTTTCTGCCGGAACCAAATAGTCACCGAGTACCCGCCAACTGCACTTGGACAATAATTTGATTATATTTATTGCTGATGTTTCTGCTTGTGTACTGATGATTTGTACCGTCAATTTTAAGCTCAGCTATTCCTTTTTATGTGAGAGATATCACAAATCAGTCAACTGATTAGTTGTTTGGCATAATATTGTATTGGCATTAGTAGTGGCAATCGCTTTGCTTTTTTTCTCGAATAAAAACTGAATGATGTGTGCAAAGGTTCCGAACTATTTTTAGAGTACTTTAGTGATGACGTAAAGAATCTCTGGTCATCTGACGTCGAGCAGGGTCCTCTAAAAGATATAAGGAAAGATGGAGACTCAGAGAAAGAGAGGCGAAGCAAAGAAGATGTCCGTGAAAAAGAACGATGACTTCCTTCTTCGAGCTTTCTATGGAAGACTCCGCTTCTCTTTACTCCTGTTTTTTAGCACTCGAATTTTCTTTTGAAACTAGAATATTGAAATATTTTCAGATTTTTTTAGGGATCCTACAATGCAAAAGCAATTCAATTGGACGTTAATTGCAGTCAGTTGTCCGGAATTCAAGATCAATCAATGGGATTTGGTTTTCTATTTTATTGCATTTGTAGGATTAATATTGACATCTGTTAGTTGAATTTTCAAAATCTTCTCCTGTTAAAAAATTCCATTTTCAGATTCAAATGTGGAAATTCCGTAAGAAGAGAAAAGAAGGAAGTAGTTTTCTCGGCATGTTGACTGATTGCGACTTTGTAATTTGCCTCTTTTTTCTTGTGATTCATCTTGGAAGAAGTATTGCTTTCCAATATCAAAATGATGTAAGCGCATTGCTGTTGGCACATTGTAAATATTAAATTTCAGATTTTGGCTGCACTTCGAATAGAATATCAGATACAAATCAAGGCCTGCAAAACACTTTTCGATACAGTTATGAATTTTGTAGTGTTTTATCTGATTGCGGAGAGATTTTTATGGACTTGCTCGTCTAGAACTAGGCTGAGATGGAGGATGTTCACAGCGGCCAAGCCAAAATTTTGGCTGTTATTTGGAACAGCAATTTATTGTATTTTTCATCGACTATAAAACCAACAGTAAGTTCTGGAGAGTTGGTAGGACTTCAAATTTGTTTTCAGGTACAATCGACCATACCGTTTTGTGATGTTGAACCTTATCCAATAGTGTTTGCGGAGCCAGGTTAGTCGCGAGATCAGAAACTAATTTTAAAAAATTTAAAAAGACCAATGACCTTCTAGACTTTTGTGAAATTGACATTTGAGATTTGAGCAAGAACTTATCGAGTTCCCAAAAAAGCCCATCTAATTGAGGAGACAACACTTTGATTCATATTTTCCGATTTTCAGCTATTCAAATCATCCAACTCTACATAGTTCCCGGAATCTCTGCAATTGCATCTGTGGCCACTTTAGCGTTTGCCATCCTCACCATTCCGCGTTTATCAAAAATTGGAGAAGAAGAAGATCCAGTGGTTCAAGAGGAAACGAAACTAATGAGTTTACAAGGAAAGCATTCAAACATATTGTAAGAAAACATAATTTCAAAAAAAAGGACAAAACAAGATTTCTAGGAATACCGTCCCCATCAGACGCTCCATCATTTGCATGCTTGTCGTCTATGCCACATTTTTCATCCGCACAGTGTGCTATCACATTTTCATCGATCCTTTCAACTCCGACTTGTTCCAGAAAACATCAAGTGCTCGTAATCGTAAGCCAACTTTTTTTTTTCAAAAATGATAAAAATTTCCAGTAACCGTTTGGTGGTACGACGCAATGAGTGTCGTGTTCTCCGGATCCAGATTAATCGTTTATTACGTTTTCTGCCGTGACCAAATAGTCACCGAATTCCCGCCAACTGCAATTGGGCAATAATTTTCTTTTATAACTCTAATGGTTGATTATAACTCTAATGGTCTCTGATATAAATCTCATTTGAATTCTGTTTTTAAAATTTTCGGGGTCTCATGTGGGCACAGTATGCATCCTGACGTGACGGTGCATCTGGTATTCATACAGCGCGTGATTATTTTGTCGTGCAACTATATTTCAAAGTTTATTTCAAAAGGAAATGGTAAGATCAATCACTTCGAGTTTTTTTACTTTCAGAATCCATCACAATGCTTCAAATCCATGAATTGTCTGATCTCTAGCTCCAACTCTTGCGGAAACAGGCTCCTGGCTCCTGTCTCCAGGATTTACTTCATTTCTGTGTTATTTTCAGTCAGAACCATCATCTCACTGAAAGAATTTTTTGATTTCAGTTCCAGGAATTGAAAAAATATATTGCATTTCACAGCAGATTTCTTCGGAACACCGTTTCGAAATCCTCCAACAGCATGTCATATTGCTCCTGATACCGTTGAACGCTCCTGGCTCCAGCTTCAGCTCCAATACCTGAGCTCCAGACCCCGGGCTCCAGACCCCGGGCTCCAGAACCCGGGCTCCAGAACCCGAGCTCCAGACCCCGGGCTCCAGAACCCAGGCTCCAGACTTCCTGGAGCCCAGAGAAGGGAGAACTGATTCTTCCCTCTACTTCCCTCTTCGTTTACAGTGTTCTTCCTGGGGTCAATGGGCCATCGAGGGTCGTAGGGTTTTTACGTCGTTTTTTTCTGCGGAGAATATAATTTTTTGATTTTTTTTGCCACGTGGATTTCTTTTATAATCAAATAAATATTTTCTTCACGTTTGAAAAACAATCGAATTTTCACTTTTGAAATTCGTGATAATCCTTCAAATAAGAGTGTCACTTTAAACCTAATTATCTCGTTTCCTATTCGAGACATCAAAAAATGTCTAACTAATGAAATGTTAATTATGTTAAGGCAATCATTTTTGCTCTTGAAAACTTTTTGATGGCTTCTACAGTAACCGAGACATGTTTTGTCGAGGTTGACTAGACCACACACTCTAACGTTTAAAGTTTGAACCAATCTATCTTGATTCCTGTGAAAGATATAAAAAGTAGTCAACCTATAAAACGTTGATCATGATTTCAGCAACATTTCGTTAATTGACCACTTTTTGATATCTTTTACAGTAACCTATGGGTTCAAAGTTGGCTGTTCAGGAAGTCTTCTTTTAGAGTGTCGGTATATGAACAAAATTTCGAGAAATATTGGATTTATTTTTAATTTATCCTCTTTTCTAGACGACAACCCTAGAGGAAATGAGCTTACGAGCTAAATATTAAAGGTATCGCGTCAATATTGGCTCAAAATCAGCTACGCGGCCACAGCCGGAGATTTGTCACCGAAACCGTAACTTTAAGCTTACATATTTTGTTTCTTGTGGAAGTTATCAAAATGTGGTCAACAGACAAAATGTTTATCATAAAATCAGAAAAAAAATATCAGTTGAGTACTCCTTAATACCTTTCACAGGAACCAAAATATATGAGCACAAAGCTGGCGGTTTGAATGGCATTTTATTAAATGTTCATGGTAATTGAAATAGTTGAGTTTTGAATTGCTAAATTTAAAAAACAATGAAAATTGTTGAGTGTTTCGCTATGAGTCATATTTCGTAATATGAAGCGATGGTGACAATTGTGCTGCTTCTATTGTTCCACTGGCCAGGAGTCTTCACTCACACCTGCCTTTTTCTCATAACGAGGAAACAGATAGAAACGAGAGGACATAGAGAAAAAGGAGAGAAATTGAGAAAGCTGGCTGGTATATGAGCTTTTTGACAAACCTACACTTTTCTTTTATTTTTCTTTTTACTTTTGGTTTTGACACAAAAAATTGTTAATGCTATTTTGGTAGTCTAGAAAAAACAGTCTAGAAAAACACTCCACGATTTTAAAAAATAATTTTAGAACCGAATTTTTTATGCATTACATCCATCTCTATATTGGTCCTCATTCAGAAAACAAACGCTCATTTAAAATGCAATAACGACATTTTTTTGTTCTCTATAGAAAAATAGCAAGCATTACTCCACTACGACGCTTGGCTTCTGAAAACTGAAGGATTTAGGCTTCTGAAAATTCAATCTCTACTTTTGACATCAATTCAATATTTTCATTGCTAACACATCATGTCAACGGTTCTCAACTGGACCCTGATAGAGAATACTTGTCCTGAGTTTCGGATGAATTCGTGGGATTTTATACTTGCTATAGTAGCATTTGCAGGAGTCGTCATGACCGGTGTAAGTCTTTTTTTGAATCTTGAAAAAATTAAACGACTGATTTTGAAAAATATTTTTTCGAAAACTCGTTCTGTTAACTTTTGAACAGTTTTGGAGCGAACGATGGAACCATTAGACGGGGCGAAGTGCCTTTATTCGAAACGTCGTAAAATTTAGTTTGAAAATATATTTTGTTGGGTGTTCTGACCTTACTCTATGTCTCTGTGTTTCTTGGCCATTACTATGATGGTCTAACTTTTGCAAAATGATTTCTCTAGACCACCATAGTAAATGGCCTAGAAATGACCTGATATTCCACTGATGTGTTTTTTAAACCATTTCCCATGGTGACCTGGAAAAATTAACTTGCTAAAGTTAAGCCACTATTTGAGAACGGCCTAGAAAATCTACCACGGGGATCAACCCATTTCTAGGCCATCAACGTTGGTGGCCTAGAAAACTCAACCAAAATTCTATTTCAGATCCAAATATACCAATTCCACCAAAAGAAACGGAAAGGAAGTGTGTTTCTTGGACAACTTGCTGGATGCGACTTCACGATTTGTTTTTATTATCTATGGATGTATTTTGTCACTTCACTCACTATGCATTACCAAAATAACGTGAGAACTAGACATGCCGGCCATGGCATTACTGATGTCCTAAAACTGGCTTATTCTGATGATGGCAAGTTTCAGACCTTTGCGGAATGGCGAATTGAAATGCAAACGACTGACAAACTGGTCAGAATCTTCAACGACACATTCATGACTCTCATCTTCTTTTGCATCGTCGTTGAGAAATTCTTATGGACGTTTTCTTCAAGAACTCGCCTAACCTGGACAATGTTCACAATGGCCAAACCAAAACTCTATATTATTCTTGCATCTGCTATATATTCCGTGGTTCAGGTTTTCACCAAATCATTTGTGAGTTTTCTTCGAAATTTTGAGCCGAAAGTATATAGTCCAGGTTCTTTCTGATATCCCATTCTGCGACATTGCCCTTCAGCCGGACTGGTTTGTTGGTTTCATTGCTCGGTTCTTTCAATTGTATCTGGTTCCCGGAATCTCCATAATTTTACATGTTGCAACTTTCATTTTTGCCTGTCTTACTATCCCTCGATTGTCGAAAATCGGGCAAGAAGAGAATGTAGTTAGTCAAGAGGAAGGTAATTCGGAAGACGTGGAGGCAAAAGTGTCGGCTAAAGTGTGAGTTGGAGGATCTTAGAACATAAAACCAATCTGAAGGTTTTCAGAAACACGGACCTCATCAAGCGTTCTATCATTTGCATGCTCGTCGTCTATGCCACCTTCCTCATCCGCACATTTTGCTATTACATTTTTATCGACCCACAAACCTCCAATTTGTTCAAAAAAGTGTCAAACTCTCGGACTTGTGCGTTTGAAGATTTTCTGAAATTTTTCTAGTTATTAATTTTCAGTAACACATTGGTGGTACGACTTCATGAGCGTAATTTTCTCTGGGTCTCGATACATTGTTTATTACGCATTCTGTCGTGATCAGTTGGTTACAGAATTTCCACCAATGCCATTTGGACAGTAATTTATTTTCTCCGAATCAAAATTCATTTTGTTAGTACATCTCTGACAAACACAACGAATAAATTATTGATTTCAAGTTGTTTTTTTTTCAGTTCCACTCACTTACTTTGAGCTCAATTATCTCGGTTTCTATTAGAGTTAACAAAAAATCAACTGATAAAATGTTGCTGATATTATGACAAACAATTTAACAGTTGACGGATTTTTGATATCTCTTATATAAACCGAGTTAATTGATCTCAAAGTATCAGACCAATTACTTGAGAAACTGAGCAGCTATCGGCTGAGCTAGGCGGTCGCAAAAGACCATTACCGACCCATTAGGTATACTAAAGGTATGCTGTGTGAGGTACTATTAGGTATAATAAGGTACGGTACAAGAAAGGGTCCAGAGAAAATGCATATGTACATTGATCGTTGTACACCTTCAAAAAGGGTCACAGGTTTTTCTTTTTCTATGATTTCAGAACAGTACACAATTTAAGCAAAATCCAATCATTTTCGTTGGACCAAAAAACCAAAAAGAAAGTGCAAGAAGACAAATAATTAATCAAATCAAAGATTCCAAGAACTTCACGTCCATCATTCGACATTGCAAGTTGTTTCCATCCACCACCGCTTCCATCAACAGCTCCTGAATCTTGTCTGGAATCTCCTCGCCGAAGTTCATCTGACTGACCAATCTAGCATTTTCGATGAAGAACCGTTTGTTCCAATCCACCTGCTTCTTCAGTTCCGACTCCTGATGCTCTTGGCGTTCTCCAACGAGTCCGACATCAATTGGAAAACAACCTACTCAAGATCTGCATGAAATCGAATATCCAAACTTGGAGTATCAAATCGAGAACTTCCGAACCAAGAATATTTTACAGAATCTTTGTAAATTGCAAGAATTTTCCACGTATCCAAAACTGTTTCCGATGATAAATCATTAGAATAAGCAAATAAGAAAGTTTGTGGATAAGTTGAAGGGCTGCAGGACGTGTCGTCTGAAACTTAAAAGTATTCTTTTTTTTGCGAATTTGAATAGCTGTCATCTGAAACATGTTATCGATTCAGATTAGGTTTTTTGGGGTTTTGTGTGATTGGTTGGATGCTTGCTTTTGGAAGGTTTTTTAGTAATATAGCTTTCAGGTTTTAGTGTGTAGAATAGTCGAATAAATGATGCTTCCAACATTGTGTCATCGCTTTTATGCCGGAATTCATTATCAGTTAGCCAAGGAATAAAACGTTTTATCATCTTTTTTTTTCTTGTGTACGAAAATCAGCATCATTCTCAAATAAATGAAGTGATGTCTCTTTTCTTCTCTACCTCTTAGCTTTTCTGACATTTCAGTTTGAAAAAAAACTCTAAAACCTAACATATATCGAAAAAAAAAACTTTTCAAATAGAATGAATATGTTACTGACTCTTGAAGGCCCATATTCTTATTCTGTTGACCATAGGTTATATCTTCTAAGAAGTTGCACGTAAAACCTCTAGCAAATTAAAGAAGTCAGTTTTTGATTTGAGGATTAGTGATCAGTCGCTTGAAACAAATTTTCTAAAAGAACTCATGACAAAACTTCATGTAGTTTTAGTTGTCATATTCACCTGTTTGCAGCGGAAAATCTTAGGAAACTGTTGTCATTCTTTTCAGAGCTTTTTGCAAAACACGATAAAAATGTATCTGGAACCACCGGTATCTTATAAATTTACTCTTCACGCCATCACTGCTCTTCATTTTTTTGGTATTTACTGTATCCTTTCTTTTTTCTTTTACACCTAAAACACGGGTTCTGCAGAATGGTACTTATTGAATTTACACGTTTCTTGTATTCTGTTTGATTGGGAGATGACTGTGTTATCTGTGTCATATCTTATCCATCCTGCTTTAGAAGGATATCCATTGGGGATATTAAGATGGTTTTTAGTACTCTTGTACAAACATGTTTCGTGATAACAATGCTTTTTGGTAAGATCTTACGATCATCACGGTAAGAATCAACGGACCGTGTTTATTTTCAGTTACTGTTACTTCTATCGTATTTATTTTTGAAAATGGATTCTATCAGCTGTATGCAAGAAACAGTTTCTGGCGCTACCTACGTATACCGTTGATAATATTCAATTATTTTCTGGATGCAACTCATTTGTTACCGCCATGCTTTATGATTCCTGATCAATAAATTGCCTTGAAGTCCACTTATAAAGTCTGTGGTTCTCAAAACCAGAAAGCTTCAACATTTTTTCAGCAAATACCAAATTTATCGGAAGAAATGAAAGCCGAGCCACTGTTCATTCTATTCACTGATTTTTGGGTTAAAATACCTTTCATCTTAATGGTTCTTCAGAAATGTGTAGAAATACACTTCTTTATTTGGGCTTATAAATCGCAATATGAGGTCGGAATCTAGAAGGTTCACTAAAGATGAAATCACAATAAATGTACAGAGAAAGTTCTTTAACGCTATCAAAGCTCAGGTGAAAAGACATTCCCAAATATCAATGTGAATAATAAACCTCTAAAAAGCTTTTGGTAGTTACCATTAGTTTTACATTTTCCCAAATTTATATTCTTGTTTCATTCACCCACGAACATTACAACCAATGTGCTAATAATTTAGTTATTACAATAGTTGCATGACATGGTATCAATACCAGTTTAATTATTCTATAAGCCAATAAAACGTATCGTGAATATTGTTTTAAGATTTTCAAGAAGATAAGATGTATTTGGTTACACATCTACTGCTTTAGCAGTATCCATACAAACTCAGATTCATGATAATTATCATTTTTGTTATAGTGTCGATTACTTCCGTCTTCGACTAGAGCACAACCACACATATACTCCCAAAAGACCCTGTAGTCTCAAAAATCACGAAAAATATGCTCAAATGTTTTTCGAATATCACATTTCAGCTGTAAAATACTTGCAATGATTTCTTTCGAGAACTGGAAATCAATGCTGATTTATTCTCAATGGATTGGTGGGACACTTGGCGTGATTTTCAACCTGTTCCTCATCCTTCTCATAATCTACCGTTCCCCACAACACCTCGGCGTGTATAAATATCTCATGATGTACATTTCAATCGTCCAAACAGTTTTCTCTATATTGGATGTTATCAGCAAATCTATCACATTTTCGTACGGTTCGGTTTTTATGGGATTTCGTTATTTCAAACATTCCAATATTGGTAGAGCCCAAGGCTTTCACCTACTTTCTGTACATGGTGGCACCTTTGGGGCAATCATATCTTTATTCGGCGTTCACTTTGTTTATAGATATGGTGTGGTGTGGCGGATTTAGCGTTTCGAAAGCGATTTCTTTCGGGTTGGAAGTTAGTTCTAATATTCTTGACCCCAATTTTGGCATTTATTTGGTGGACATCTGTAGTGTTATTATGTTTCGGTCCGAGCTCTGAATCTGATTCACTAATGAGGTACCTTAAATTTATAATGGAACGCCCTACACACTTTCAAGTTTCAGCGAGTTTTTCTTGGCTCCTATGTAAGATATCAAAAATGTGTCAACATATAAAATTTTTGTGATGTTATGATGAACAATTTATCAGTTGGCGACTTTTTTGTATCTTTGAGAGAAACCGAGATAAATTGGCTCGAATTTGAAAACTTGGGGCTGTTCTATTACATGCGTCACATACCACGCTCTCCCACAGAACAATTCCGAACTGCAAATTAATTTTTGATCTACAGAAAAAAAGTTTGGCGCGATCACAATTGCAGGTCTAAAACCATAATTTCAGAATGTTTCATCTGATTTTGTGGAGTTCCAAGATGATTCAAATGATTCTTAAAAAATTAATTAGTGGTTATAGATTCATGTATGGTCGTTTTCCGGAAGAAAAAAATGTCA